TTGTCACCCAGTCCTGTGTCCAGACAGCGAGGCCGGCGGCGGATCGGCACCGCCAGGACTTCCCCGGTGAGAAGAGGAGGGAGCCGGAGGTCGGTGGATGGAGGCATCGTTGGTGGGCAAGATGACGGCGTGGCGGGAATCGAGGAGCCCGCCGTCTCTTCCGGTCCAAACGGCGGGAAGAGAGAGGATGCCAGAAGTGATGGTAAATGTCGGCGCCCTTGAGCACGTCGAACGTCATCAACGGTCGCACCCAGAAGTGACGCGCACCATCGGTGCCCTGTCCAGGACACGGAGTTCCCAGGGCGCCGGACACAGAGGACAGTCGGCAGGGAGTAGAGGAGACAACTGGACGCACAACTGGAACTCACAGGCATCCGGGAGCAACTCCCATCACCCAAAGGCAGCCGGTTTCGGTAATGTCAGCCTGGAGCACAGCTCAGGTCCTGCTGCAGATGTCCACAGGAGGTCAAATAAATGATTTTCATAGAATTTCTGAACCCCTGAACTGATCTGGGTGATTCTGCTTCAGAGGAAGAGGAGGTTTCGGTGCCAGCAGTTCCCCAGCGGTCTGGTGAGTTTTTACATTGCACTGGCGCTCAGGGGACTGGTGCCCAAGAACAGCCTAGGGAGTGGTTGCGCCTGCTTAGGACCCTAGTTGACAGTTTCCCATCACAGCTTACTGGGCAAAGGGTAGCCGCAGGGCACGATATTAGACTCCCAATGCAGGCGGAGGTACAGGGATGTGCACAGGACCCTAGAGGTCAGCCTGCCTCAGGGGCTTTTTGCGCAGGTTGGGTGGGATGCAATCTGGCACTTCTCTACTTCTATGCGATCTGGCATCCCTATGGACATGCAAGAGAAAATATGGAGAGGTGAGTAGGTGGATCTGCTGTCCTTGGTCTCTCCTGACAAGGATTCTGTGGACAGACCATGCCGGGGTGAAGTTCCCGAGGCAGACAAAGGTAAGCAGATTCCCAGAACCTTTGTCAATTGGTTGCAAGGGTTTAATATCTTTTCAAGCATCCTAGTGCGCCGTTTCCCAGATAAGGCTCCTTCTCTGTTTGGGTACTTAGACCTAATTTGGGGGGCTTATAAAATCTACGGGGGGCAATGCTGGTATCGCTATGACTAGCAATTCCGCCAAAAGATGGCGGTGTGCCCAGGGAATCGATTTGGGGGTTCAGGATGGTAGTCTCTGGCTGTTGTTAATAATTACCCCCAGTTGACCATCACCCTTTCCCGGGTCTGCTGGAGGTACCTCCGGCTCCTCTGCAGGGCAGAAAAAAGGCGTCTGCTGGCTCTTTAACGAGAGCCAGTGCCGGTGGTACAGATAGTACAGGTTTTGACACGAATGTGCTCACTACTGGGGAAACCGGCCACCAGGAAGGGTCCTTCTCGAGATGACATTCCTAGGGGAGAGGACACCAGTGGACGTCCTAAGGATGTGCCCCTGGCTCACCCGGTATCATAGAGTTCGCGATGCGCATATCTTATTCGACGGGTTTCAGGTGGGTTTTTGGATTCCGTTTGTTCCTTCTTCGTTGCCCCAGTTTGCAGACAATATCCGCTCGATTAAGGGCAAGTAAGATATTCTGCAGGATAAGTTAGTTGCAGAGGACCTGACTTGCTTTTATCCAAATATTAAATCTTAAAGAAAGGAGGACCAGCCGATGCAGAAGCGCGAGAACCGGAGGGGAACAGGAGGACGAGCGATTTATCGCATGGCAGGCCCTTTTTCCTTTTCCCCCTTTTCTAATTTACGCATTTCTCCCCTGGGGCTGGTTCCTAAGAAGATACACCATCTGTCTTATGCGTCGGGAGGTTCCGTTAACGATGACATCGGGAAAGATGTTTGTCGAGTGCACTATGCATCATTCGACAGGGTGTTAGAGTTGGTGTGCCGTGCAGGGCCTGGCGCGTTGTTGGCAAAATCTGACAAAGTATTGGCTTTTTGTCTGTTGCCAGTTCACCCCTCCTGCTTTCACTTGCTAGGCTGTTCATTTCGTGGGGTTGTATATTATGACGTGTTTGCCCATGGGCTGTTCAATTTCTTGTTTCTATTTTGAGATGTTTTCGTGTTTCTTGGAATGGGTTACAGTGCAGGAGGCGGGTTTATCGTCGGTTACCCATTACCTGGACGATTTTTTATTCGTCGGCCTGTCGGGTTCCGGGGAATGTGAGCGTTTGTTACATTAGTTTCGGACAATCATGCGGCATTTCGGTGTTCCTGTCGCGGAGGCCAAAATGGTGGGCCCGGTTCAAGTATTATCGTTTTTAGGGATAGAAAAAGACTCCATTGAGATGGTTTTCCGTCTGCCGGCTGACAAATTATCGGTCCTGTTGCGCATGGTTGACTTGATTTGCAGGGCCAGGAAGGTACAGTTACAGCAAATGCAGGTGCTTCTGGGGCACTTGGCCTTTGCATGTCGTGTCCTTCCCATGGGTTGGGCATTTTGTAGGTGCCTTTCTCTTTCCACTGTGGGGGTTCGGGAGCCCTTTCATTTTATTCAGGTCACTTGTCGTTTGCGCGCGGACCTTCAGGTGTGGAGCTCCTTTCTGGAGCGCTGCAATGGTCGCCCCTGCTGGCTGCAGGTGGCTACGTCTAACTCCGAGTTGAACCTCTTCACAGATGCGTCCGGTGCCATGGGTTTTGGAGCGTACTTCCAGGGCCAGTGGTGCGCAGAGGCATGGTCGGCCCGGTGGCTGGGCTTGGACGTGATGCGGAATTTAATGTTTTTGGAGTTGTTTCCCATTGTGGTCTCCTTAGAGCTCTGGGGGGGAGGCTCTTCACAACAGGGTGGTTGTTTTTCACACTGACAACATGAGCGCTGTCCATATGATAAATCGCTCGTCCTCCAGTTCCCCTCCGGTTCTCGTGCTTCTGCGTCGGCTGGTCCTCCTTTCTTTAAGATTTAATATTTGGATAAAAGCAAGTCAGGTCCCGGGTGTACAGAACGTGGTAGCTGACTCTCTTTCTCTGTTTCAGCGGGACTGCTTTCAGGGTTGTCTGCGCCGGCGGCGGAAGCAGTGGGTCTCAGCTGTCTGGACTCCTTATGGGAGATCGATTTGGAGGATTGAGACGCTTGGTGGCGGACTCCTTGTCGGATGCTTCTTGGAGATCGTATCAAGCGGTGGACAGGGTTCACCTCTCTCTTATAGGTTTAGATATCATGAACTCCGGGCTACAGGTGCTGGCTGCGGGGGGGCGCGGTGCCTCCCAAGGGGACAGTTAGGGAGGCCCCACGATGGCGGTAGTCCTGGCCAGCGAAGAGAATTGGAAGGAAGTGCCAAGAGGCTTGGGGAGTCGCAGCCTGCTGAGAGCTGATGGCGGGGGCAGGCTGCTCCGGACTCGTGGTTTCATTTGATAGAGTTGTCTGTTGGTAATCCCCCAACAGCTGACAGGTTGTGGACGCTGGCAATAATCATCAATAAAACTGTGGCCATTGCCCTTACCCATACAAAAGGTTGTTGTGTATTTATTGGGCAACGGGTGGTTGGGGTTTGGTCTGGGTCAGCAGTCAAGTACCTCCCTGGAAACATAAGGAAGGGAGGACATGACTGCTGGCAGGGATAAGGGGATGGTACCTAAGGTGATACATTGTGGCACCCTGGCATTAAGACGGGGAGAAAGGGGAGGGTACTCACCAGTTACCGGGCAGAAGTGTAGTGGTGATAGCTTCCCACCCGCCCACCCAAAAGATGTTTTATGTTTGGATTTCGGTTGGTTGTGTGTTGTTTTTTTTCTTTGTTTTGTCACAGCTCGCGGTAGTCCTGGCCAGCGAAGCGAATTGGAAGGAAGTGCCCAAGCAGCTTGGGGAGTCGCAGCCTGCTGAGAGCTGATGGCGGGGGCAGGCTGCTCCAGACTCGTGGCATCATTTGATAGAGCTGTCTGTTGGTAATCCCCCAACAGCTGACAGGTTGTGGATCCCGGCAATAATCATTAATAAAGCTGTGGCCGTTGCCCTTACCCATACAAAAGTTGTTGTGTATTTATTGGGGTGGTTGGGGTTTGTTCTGGGTCAGCAGTCAAGTCATGTGACAATTTACAGACAATTTTTCACCTTTAGAGTTGTGCACTATAACAAAATACTGAAGGAACAGTGTAATACATTGGTTATCATTTATTATGTAGTTGTTGGCAGACTACATTTCCCCTAATGCAAAACCATCCTTACAAGATTTAGTATAAATAAATCACCTTCCATTAAGGCTGTCCGTTTCCATTTAGAACAATACAGTACAATTTACTGGGTGTTAGTTGATACATAAGAAAACTGATAATTTGTGAAGCATCCAAATGGAGTATAGTAAATAATGGATGTGAAATAATCACTATAGTAGTATAATGGGTGGGAAAGCCTCAAAACATGAAACTAAACCAGTTCATTATCTTGGAAAAGATTGTGTTTGTTTACGTGTATGGGCTGGGTCCCATTAAGTGCATTTTGGGCCCTTGGGCAAAAACAGTCTACGCCAATGCATTGATATAATTTATATTTGAATGGTTAAAAACCAAATTATTCCTTTTGTATATAAATAGCATTCTTAATGCTTAGCCATGCATGTTCCATCTTGAACTAGCTGCATATTAGCACAGAAGTCCAGATTTATTCACGGTACAAAGAATTTGCTACATCATATTGTAAGCAAGTAAGAGATTGCTTCTTCCTACGACTATGGTTTCATATATTAATTACCAATTAAAATACAATGTAATTACTCCACTTCCATATTTATACAAACTGCTAATTTACGATTAAGACTGTAAGAGCTACAGGAATCAATAAATATGAATAAAATATTTTGAACAAACACATGCAAGATGCACAAAGAATCATGATAAAATTATTTCCAGTGTATACTGCAAGCAAAGGGCAAATGCTTACAATAACAGTGCCAAACACCTAGAAATTTCATGGTTTTTTTTCTATTTATCTGATCAGCAAATTTTATAAACAGTTAGTAAAAGATCGGAAATAGTACACTATAAAACCAACAGGTATACAGAAAAAAGTGTGTAGCGCTGAATGAAATTAGCACTTACCCCTAAGGGTTTACAACAATATATAGTAAATTCCCTGCAGGAATTTCAGCGCTACACACTTCGTTCTGTATACCTGTTGGTTTTATAGTGCACTATTTCCTAACTTATTGTGAGTAGGGTGGGGAGTCCCTATTATAGTGTGTTAGCAGCTCTTATAATCACTTGTTCACTAATATAGATCTAAGCGCCTTATTTACACAGGTTCACGTTTTATTTCAGTTAGTAAAAGATCACCTAACCGCAACCCAAGTTTCTAAAAGTATTACTTAAAGAACCACTATAGGCACCCAGACCACGCCAGCTTACTGAAGTGGTCTGGGTGCCAGGTCCACCTAGGATTAACCCTTTCTGTTGTAAACATAGCAGTTTCAGAGAAACTGCTATGTTTACTTTAGGGTTAATCCAGCCTCTAGTGGCTGTCTCATTGACAGCCGCTAGAGGCGCTTCTGTGCTTCTCACTGTGATTTTCACAGTGAGAAGATGCCAGCGTCCATAGGAAAGCATTGAGAATGCTTTCCTATGGACTGGCTGAATGCGCGTGCGGCTCTTGCTGCACATACGCATACATACGATGACGGGGAAAGGAGGAGGAGAGTCTCCAGCACCGTGGGAGCCCAGCGCTGGAGAAAGGTAAGTGTTTAACCCCTTCCTCTCCATCCAGCCCGGCGAGAGTGGGACCCTGAGGGTGGGGGCACCCTCAGGGCACTATAGTGCCAATAAAATGAGTATGTTTTCCTGGCACTATAGTGGTCCTTTAAATGAACACTATACTGAAAGGCTATTTATTTGATATTTCATTCGCAAATTAAAAAAGATTGCAAAAACTGAATTAAAAATAGCTTATTCTGAAAAAATACCCATCTCAGGTATAGTCAAAACTTGACTGTTTTTATTTTTAATATTTTTTGTGTGAAAATTCTGAGTTTATTGAATAACCCTGAATGAGTTCTGGGAAGAAAACGTGAAACGTAACCTGCAGTTACAGATACACATAGCATGAAGGACACATTTAATCTAAGCCAAGATCTGGCAGAGTACGTGCTAATATATACTGTCCAAGGTCAGGTCAGCAGCTGGCAAACAGTAATCCAAAATTTAGACAGAGGTGTCTGAATATATATATATATATATATAGGCAATCTGTGGTTAAATTCCCAAAAATGCTTAGCCATAGCCACATGTTTGTCAGTCTTCCCATCCATGAAAGCTGTCATGATGGCTGACCTGTGACCTCTAATTCTGTCTCTAAGAGTCAAATCTGTTTTTTCCAACGTAAAAAAGGCAGCACATGCATGAAATTAAATATACCACATGGTCTGTTAAACATGAAATATAATGAGCAATAGCATATCTTTTGCCAGAGTGTGGATGCACAAATGAGGAACCAGTCAACATGTGTCCACATGTTACACATCCCGTGCAGCGAAAGCATCCTTTCCTCTCAGAAACTTTAGGGAGTAGCTTGTCCCATGTTATATCCGTTTTCATCAGTAAATCTTTCACATTTTTGCTCCTAACATAAGATATACTAGATGATGTAGAAAAAATAGAACTCAATGATTTTTCTGTTGATAATATTTCCCATCGTTTCTTAATACACTTTGTGATATTCCCACTTGCTGAATGAAACTTCATTGGGATAGTAATTTGAGCGTTCTTTGTACGGGTGGAGCCTTTTTTAAAGATTTCATGGGCTCGTTCAAGTACTTTCTTCAATATTTGTTTGTGGTATCCTCTTTCCAAAAAGGCTATACGCATTGCCTCTATTTGTTGGTCTCTGTGGCAAACTTAGCCACTTGTAATATTCTGGACATAGAAACAAAGAAACATAGAATGTGACGGCAGATAAGAATCATTCGGCACATCAAGTCTGCCCAATTTTCTAAATACTTTCATTAGTCCCTAGCCCTATCTTATAGTTAGGATAGCCTTATGCCTATCCCACGCATGCTTAAACTCATTTACTGTGTTAACCTCTACCACTTCAGCTGGAAGGCTATTCCATGCATCCACTACCCACTCAGTAAAGTAATACTTCCTGATATTATTTTTAAACCTTTGTCCCTCTAATTTAAGACTATGTCCTCTTGTTGTGGTAGTTTTTCTTCTTTTAAATATAGTCTCCTCCTTTACTGTGTTGATTCCCTTTATATATTTAAATGTTTCTATCATATCCCCCCTGTCTCGTCTTTCCTCCAAGCTATACATGTTAAGATCCTTTAACCTTTCCTGGTAAGTTTTATCCCGCAATCCATGAACCAGTTTAGTAGCCCTTCTCTGAACCCTCTCTAAGGTATCAATATCCTTCAGAAGATACGGTCTCCAGTACTGTGTACAATACTCCAAGTGAGGTCTCACCAGTGTTCTGTACAATGGCATGAGCACTTCCCTCTTTCTACTGCTAATACCTCTCCCTATACAACCAAGCATTCTGCTAGCATTTCCTGCTGCTCTATTACATTGTCTGCCTACCTTTAAGTCATCAGAAATAATCACCCCTAAATCCCTTTCCTCGTATGTTGAGGTGGACTATGCACATAAAAAGGTTGCCTATAGTAATCCCTGTAATGTCTTGTATAACTTGGCTGTACCATGTGTATTAATGTATGTGTATATTGAATTCGTATGCTAGCAGCCGAAAGCCGCTAGCATTCATGGGTTTCGTTTCACGAACAGCAACTTTACAGGCTGTTCATGAACCGAATGAGCTATTCCCTAATAGCCCACACACAGAGAGACGTGGGAACAGTGTTGCAATCTGTAATTAAAGGCTTTCCTAGGTGGCCGTCGTTCGGCTACCGACCACGCGGCGGTCGGCCATCTTGGATCCTTTGTCTCACCAGCGGTGTTTGGTTGTCGAGCGCGTGGAACTGAAAATGGCTACTCGGCGGCGCGAACACCGCTGGACTTCCAGGCTGTTCGGGAGCTGCGGTCTTTCGTTATTGTGGTTCCCCATCGGTGTCCGGTACTTTTAGGCGAACTCGATGGCAAAGTATATTTCATGCGGCGTTCGGTTGTTTTAGCTGGGATCTGAGCGGTATTCCCACGAAATGTGCACTCAGACCCCAGCTATCTACCAAACGTCCGTTCATTTAAATGGACTAAGTATTGTTGAAGTTATGGATTTAAATGTAGAATGCTGGTTCTGCTGCACGGAGGGATAATCCACTTAATGGTATATTCCAGTGGGAGTGTCCCTCTCGTGCAGCAGTGCCTGATGGGAGAAAAGGTCTGAATGTTAAGTCCCCCATGTAGTCCCCTACTGTATTACCCCGGATTACACTGCATTAAAAAGGCAGACACTAAAGGAACTGCTGGAAGCCAGGGGAAAGATAGCCAGCAACAAGCCGAAAGCAGTGCTGATCGACGAACTGATGGAGGGAGACAGAGCCCACAGCGTTACACCCCCACCAGCCATGGAGGAAACCCCATACCAAAGAGAGATGAGAACAAGGATGGAGTTTCTGCCGCAGCCAGTACCCCTGGAAATATTGACCGTGCTGATAGCGGATGTGCAGGAGTATGTGATGGCACACTGTCCACAGGAGACACCGTCCAGGGCAGAATCCATTACTGCCTCCGTCTACGGCCAGGTAAAATCCAAAATCCCATACCATGCCTTTAAGTTGTTTTGTGAGGAGAAGGATGAGATTGACAGATATTTGCAAGATTTTGAAAGGCTATGTGACTTACATGACATGGAACAGGCAGTATGGGTGCCGTTACTGGCAGGCAAACTGTCAGGTCGGGCAGCAGAAGCCTATCGCGCTGTACCCAGAGAGGACAGCAAAGATTATGCGAAGGTAAAAAGAGCCATACTGGAAAGTTATGCCATTACTCCGGAGGCAAACCGGCGCAAATTCAGAGGATTGCGCAAACCGGAGAAAAATTCTAATGCGGAATGGGCTCACAAGCTGGATCAAGCATCACAGGGGTGGATACAGGCAAGTCAAGCCACCACTATGGTGGAGTTGCGACAATTGATGCTGTTAGAACAATTCTTTAATGGCTTGTCTCCAGAGGCACAAGAATGGGTGAGAGACCGCATACCCCTCACCCTAACTGAAGCAGCCCAATTAGCAGATCAACATTTTGACGCAAGGAGCCATCACGGGCCCTTGAAATCGGAATTACCCTCGACCCACTGTGCAACCCAGTACAGTCACGCCTACGACTTCCACCACAACCCCCTTTAGACCTACCCAGGGGAACCAACCTCCACCCTCCCGATACAATGGCAGGGCGAACATCCAATGCCATACCTGCAGGCAGTGGGGGCATATGTCTCGAGAGTGCACTCAGAATCGGAGCCGACAAGCATGGAACCAAGTCCGACAGAACCCTGCACCAAGGGCCGCTGCCCATCATTACCAAGTAGAGCCAGCCACCCAGGAGATATTGAGCACTCAGGCAGAGGAACCCCTGGGAATACTACATGAAGTGATGTCGATACAAGCCACTGACAACCAGCAACATCATCACCAGCTGGTGACCCTGGAGGGGAAAGAAGTGCATGGGCTCTGGGATTCTTTGGTAGTACCCCATTTGGTTCGGGTGGATCCGTGGCGGTACGAGTGGCAGGGGGAGCAGTGTACTGACTACCCACTGCCAAAGTACATTTGAACTGGGGTGCTGGGGAGGGGATGGTAGAAGTGGGCCTAATGCAGAAGTTACCTGCAGATGTTGTGCTAGGAAATGACTTGGGCCGGATGACCTCTGCTTTTATACCTCAGGCTCCACTCCAGGAAGCCCATCCAGTGACCACCCGGCAGCAAGCTTGCACCACAATTCCACCAACACTCTCTGAGGCTCAGGTAAGAGACAATGACCCCCATGCGACACGTATGACCTGGGATACCCCGTCTATGTTTGGGGCGGAGGTGAAGTTAGACCCCACACTGCAGGTCTACAGAGACAGGGTGAGCACAGAGCAGGCCGGGTTAGAGGGGGTACGGTATACCTGGGAGAAAGGGCTACTGTATCATATTGCGGAAAGAGTAGTAGGGGGATCAGTTACAGTAACGACTAAACAGTTAGTAGTTCCCCAAAAGTATAGGCAAGAACTGCTTAGGAT